TTTTAGGGTTTAGAGTGGCATGTGCACCGTTGTGTATGTCTATGGCATTCCCAAGTGGTCTCTCTCAGCGCTTTGCTGCCTTCAGTGTCTGTGGTGTTGGTTCTTGTACATGTGTGTTTTAGGGTTGTAGGGTTTTAAGGTTTAGAGTGGCATGTGCACCGTTGTGTATGTCTATGGCATTCCCAAGTGGTCTCTCTCAGCGCTTTGCAGCCTTCAGTGTCTGTGGTGTTGGTTCTTGTTAGTGTGTGTTTTAGGTCTCCCCCGCAGTCGCGAGGTTTCCCCACGTGTGCACTAGTATCGTCCTTACACCATACTGTCATGCACTTGCTGCGGCTGTAGGGGCTGTGGCTTTGGTTCATTTTAATGCGCGTCTCAGGTCTACCCATACTTTAATAGGTTTCCCCATTCATCCCCCACCTCATCCATTAACACTTGCCTTACACCACCCTGTCATGCACTTGTTTTTATGACATACACTTGCTGCGTCTGTAGGGGCTGTGGCTTTGGTTCATATTAATGCATGTCTTAGGTCTACCCATAATTTAATAGGTTTCCCCACTCATCCCCTACCTCATCCATTAACACTGGCCTTAAACCACCCTGTCATGCACTTGTTTTTATGACATGCCCTTGCTGCATCTGTAGAGATTGTGGCTTTGGTTCATATTAATGCATGTCTTAGGTCTCCCCATACTCTATTAGGTTTCCCCACTCCCCTTACACCCCCTTGTTTTTATGGCATGTTCTTGCTGCGTCTGTAGGGTTTTGGCTTGCTAGTTGCTGACAGATCCAACAACGGCGTGCTTGGGATCATCTTCGATTCATGTGTGTTTCCTGAACAGAATGGCGACAGACCAAATGCCACACGCCTGACGGTATGTGTATTTGTATGTGTATGTGTATGTGTGTGTATGTGTATATATATATATGTGTGTGTGTGTGTATGTCTATGTCTATGTCTATGTCTATGTCTATGTATGTGCATGTGTATGTGTATGTGTATGTGTATGTGTATGTGTATGTGTATGCGTTTGTTTGTATGAGTGTGTGGTCGGTTGTCATATGTGCCAGTACACGCAGTCGATGGGATTCCCTCGCCTTCCCGTGCAGGCATGTACTATCTGTGTGTGTGTTTTAGAGATCGTACATGTACTATCAACAGAGATAGTTCATGTACTATATGTGTGTGTGTTTTAGAGATAGTTCATGTACCATCTGTTTGTGTGTGATGTTGTGATGCGATCACTCTCCTTCTACTACGACCGTGTGTCAGTCAGCTGTGCGTGTTTAGTTGTATCTGCGATCCACCCTGTGTGTAGTAGGGTTTAGGTTTTTAGGGTTCTATAAATCAGTGGTAGTAGTCTCTTGTACGTAGTCTCGTGCACTGAGGTGTGTGAGCAGTTCGCTTGCATGTGTGTGCTGAGTGTGACAGTGTGAGTGTAGTATGCGTGTGCTTAGCACAGCTATTGTAGCCGCATGACACTACACTCACTAAACCCTAAAACTCACTTAACCCTAAAACTAAAAACCCTAAAACTAAAAACTAAAACGCACTAAACCCTAAAAAAACCGTATGACCTTGTTTGTGGCTGTGGCTCATGCCCCTCGTGCGTTGTGTTCCGTATGCCTTTCACGCGCTTGGTGTGGCATTGCCATATATAGGCAGGCGAGCGGGACCTATCTACGCAATTGAACTCACCCGCTCTTTGACGTTCTCCAAACTCCTAAACGCTGAACCCTGAAAATCTTAAACCCTAAACCCTGTCCACAGGTGATGGTTGATCTGTGTCGTAAGTCACACTCGCTGTCTGATGCCGAGCGCAGTAACACAACTGCCCAACTGAACGAACACATTGCGATGGTCAGCCGTGACGCAGTGCGCGACATTTTGGGCCACAACGGCCCACCGACCACTCAGCAGGTGAGGGGACGGGTTGCAGGAGATGAAGTTATGTTGCACCTGGAGTGTCTGGGTGCAGTTGGTTTTGATTTGGAGTGTGTGATTGCATGAGTATTTGTTTTGTGTGGGCTGGCTCTTTTTCTGCCGTAAGTACGCTCAGACCAGCAGGATTTAATTGGCCGTTGCCATAGCAACGGGAGCGTTTATTCGAGGCCGTAGTTGTGATACACTCCAGTGAGTGTTCTATTTATACATCGCTCCAATCGCTCTGTGCACCACACTTGTGCACCGCTGCAGTTGTTATGGTGTCAGTTGTATACTTAAGTTGGTGTGTTGGTGTGGTGACGGCCTATGTCGGTGAGTGTGGTGACTGTCAGTTTTAGTTTATGGTCTGCTGATGTGTGTTGCGTATGGTTCAATTGATGTAATGTGGTTATGGTGTTGCGCTTGCGAAGGAAGTCTGATATGTTGAGGGTTTTCTTTAGGGGTTTAGGGTTTTAATGCGGAGATTGTTCTAGGGTTTGAATCTTTTGGATATATTTCCGGGGTTTTACTTTACCAGAAATTCAATACCATACGGAAATCAACCTTATTACGTCACAGGTGCGCATACAAAAACACTGCATACCACAGTATCAACTGGGACATCTGGAGCGCATGGGGGTATGTGCATCACAGGCAAACAGAGGGCTCAGAGACTGTTATATATGTGTACATATGTATCTTTGCCTATCTATTTCTATACATATATACACAGATATATGTATATATATAAATATATATATATATATATATATATATAATGTATACTTAAATACACATATATATATATAAATACACACATATATATATATATATATACGTGAAGTGCACAGTTAGATCATCTAAAACTCTTCTAGGCTCTAGTGTTTTGGTTTTGAGACGGTGGATCTGTACACGTACAAATATGCCATGCCATGCGAGGGTGTGACGTTTTAGGGTTTTTTCCGATGCAAGTGCATCACACACAGTTGTAACTGTATTTGAGCAGCAATTATATATATATATATATATATGTATATATATATATATATGTATGTATGTATGTAAATGAATGTATATATATATATATATATAATGTCTGTGTGTGTATGTGTATATAAATATACAATATGTATATATATATATATATGTGGGTGTGTGTCTGTGTCTGTGTGTTTGTGTCTGTTTGTGTGTGCTTGTGTGTGTGTGTGTTTCTATGTATGTAAATGTATATGTGTATATATATATACATATATATATATATATGTATATATATATATATATGTGTGTGTGTGTGTGTGTGTGTGTGTGTGTGTGCATATGTGTGTATGTATGTGTAGGTATGTGTATATATATATATCTATATATATATAGGGTTGCGACAAATTGTGAACCGTGCTGCACTCACACGATTCATAGTTAGACACCGCATTACTCCCTATAGAAAACGTGCCACTCCCAACTGCAATAACGCACCTAGTAACCCAACAATACCAGCTTTGCCCTTATCTCATACATCGTTGCCACAGGAGATCGACTGGCTGCTGCGTGCAACCACCAAGGGGTGTGTGAGTGTGCTGGGATCGTCCTACAGAGGTGTCAGTGTAAACGACTGTGTGCGGTTTGCCAAGAATACAGCCAAGGGCTTAGCGCAGGGCAAAATGGTCACGGGACTGTCTGATGTGTAGGGTGCGTCTGGCAGCCGTGACGGATTATATCTAGTAAATAAAAGTATACATCCTAATTGCCTAACTATGTCTAGTAAGTAAAAGTATACATCCTAATTGCCTAACTATATCTAGTAAATAAAAGCATACATCCTAATTGCCTAACTATATCTAGTAAATAAAAGACATCCTAATTGCCTAACTATATCTAGTAAGTAAAAGTATACATCCCAACTGCCTAACTATATCTAGTAAATAAAAGTATACATCCTAATTGTTCCACTGTCACAGTCTATGGAGGTGGTACCCACACAGACAGACGCTAGCCTACTGGTGGGCTTGCACAGGTCTCTCTGATCATGCTTTTTCTAGGAGCTGTATTTGCCTGGGGTTGGCTTGCGTCGTGTTGTTTTACATCCTATTCTGATTCGAGTATTAAGTGCTCAGCGACATTCAACAGTTTAAGCTAATGCGAGAGCATGACTAAGGTGGGTGTGTGGACGGAGATAGGGCAGGTGAGTGTACTGGTAGCAGCCGCCATCTAGATTATGAATCACGGACAATGTTTGAACGATTGCTTTCCTTCAATTGTTGTTTGTGCTACACTGTCGTGCCAACGGAATCAAAACGAACGGTGACAGGCATCAGCGACCACACCAGATACTTACTAAGCCTGTGCATAGCCTGTGTGGTGAAACTTGTGACTCAATGCGTAGTAGCATCTGTCATACAAACCCTATTATGTGCTATCAGCTCTATAAACCGTAATCGATCCCGCTTTGTGATGTGGTACCAATGTTAGCAAGGCTGAGATGTCCGCTGAAGTGTAGGTGGTTGAAAAAGACTCCTTACGGAAGGCATACAGGGAAGATAAAATGACCTGCGGAAAACAGATGCGCTTCCCCTAATTGCCGTATCTGTCCTACTGGTGATAGACCACCTAGTCGTGTCCACATTTGGACTACTGGCGAGGGCATCGAGTCACGTAGCAACTAGCGAGGCTTCAATAATATGGATATCTTCTAATACTTAAACAATTGGTATAATTTCAATGATAATTATGGCTTTAAATCATCAAGATACGACTTGAAATAATAGGTATGAATTTATATAATACGTAATTTCTTCTTGAGACCGGCGTCAGTAGACTTTTTGAATACCGGCAGTCTTTATCGTCTATATTGGAAGAGTGAATAGGAAGCTCCCGTTTTCGATCAGCCGTTAATCTTTTCTTTTAAGACATTTGTACGGCGCTGCGCTACAAATTCCCGGAAGTTGCTTGTGTCTCTGCTGCAATTTCGATATCCATACTTTGGTCTCTCAGCGGATTCGGTCGCTTCACGCCGATTAACGGGTATGGCGAGCACCCCGTTCCCTCATTTCTTTTTATCTTTGTATGCATACTCAATGAAGATCAAGCCCAAATCCGAATGTGTAAAGACGATGAAGTTTGGGAATATGGCATTGTAATTACGGTGTACTCTCTTAATGATGCTATTGCTCTCCAGATGGTAAACAGCAAGGCCAAAAGTATTTCGTTTTCGTACACACAATCCTGTCACTTCTGAGCGTTCGAACCGCCCTATAGCGAAGTGTCGAGTTTGAGAGTAACTGAAGGATAAGACCAAGTGAAACAATAGACCTCTTCTCAAGTGCGAATCTTTCAGCTAGGTAAAGTCCTAGGCTGAAGGACTCGCATTGCGTCTTTATTTGTGTTTGGTGTTTTTATACTAGACTCAATTTCTACTCAAGTGTTTCTCTCACACGCGGAAGTCCCGGTAGCATCTACTGGTAATCCCGCTACATTTCTGATCACTCTAATATCAGAAATATTGAATCCTGGATCCAAAACTTAGTATTTGATAATCCTGGGCTTTGGGTTTTGGATTGGCTTTTCTAAAAATCTGGTCCCTAGATACTACAGAAGCAGTATGTACTGTATAAGCAAATTTGCAAGCGTTGAACCAGCGATGCCATTGAGGTAGAAACCTTCAATCCAACAGGAATGGTGGCAGATTAAGGTCACGTTATATTCATTGCCACGTTCCGTCTGCGGAAACGGCCCATGTACATCAACGCTCGTCATTTCGATAAGATCAGGTAGCTCCATATCGTAAATTGGAACCCTTCCGCGTTAATTAAGATTCGTTTTCACTCTTTGGCATATCATGGGTCTTTATCCTCATACACTCCAGGCCACAATGCATGTTTGGACGACTATAGTACATGTCTTGGATGCCGTGGTGACCAGCACTAGGTACATCATGAGCCGAAATTCCAGTTGAGTTGCTCATTGCTTCGTAGAGTCAGCTGCGTGCTATTGTGTATTTTCCAAGTACTGTAATAGAGGCATCAGAGTAAGATCATCCCTTTGTAACTGTTTGGTAGCGGCTGAGTGAGTCAGCGTGGGATAGACAATTAATACTGGTCATACTCGTACTTATATGCGTGATGTCGGCCTCTTTACATTATTTAGGTGAGTGGACATCTTGCAAAAACTGTACCCTAGATCACGCATCAAACTGAACATGCGACTGCCCCAATTTGTACTTGATCTTCATATGTTGAAGTTCCAACGCCCACCTCAAGAGACGTTCGATATGCCTCTTCTTTCTGGTTATAGATATGTTAGGCTTGTGATCAGTCCAGTATATAGGGACTCTACGATGCACGAAATGATGAACTGCTCTTGTATATGCCCAACCTATACCATGTGCTTCCTTCACCGGTATGCCAAAGAAGTTCGTGTCTCTTTAACACTCATGAGTATTACTGTATAGTTATTTCTTCCATCTTGCCCTCTCTTGGTTGCATCTGACTTACGCAGCATCCTTCGGCTTAATGACTGGCGTCCACTTTGACTCTGAAAGATTGTGCTTCGGCAGAGTAATCAGAATATCCCTAACGCCTGTGTAATGACAGCTCCCTATAGAAACTCAAATGCAGTCTGATGTTCTTCAGCCCACTTGCTTGGCAAGGATTCTTTAGTTGACTCTTCTTGCACCCGCCCATAACCTTGTAAAGAGGATCCGCTAGAAATACAAAGTTCAGTATAAAACGTTTTACAAACGAGAACAAACCTAATGGCGTAGCACATTCTTCGTGTATCTGGACTCAGGCCACTCCTTGATTTTGGAAAATCGTTCAGGATTTATGCTCGTGCCCGTAGCGTCCGAAACATGTCCCAGCATCTTGTTGATTTTTCTCCCAACACGATCTGCGCCCCTTTAAACATAACATTTCGGCTTTTTGGCGAGGTGAAGACTGATCCAATGTTTCCAGTAGTTTCACTTTATCATGACTACCTGCCGCTCCACCATCAACGTGATAAATAACTGGTGCTATTTCCGTGTAATAAAGGCGCAACAGCCAATACAAATATTGCTTTGCTCGTTCGCAAGCCCTGAGGCAAAACTCTGTATTCATACTTAAAGTCTACTGGCACTCTAATACGAACATCCCAATTGGCGTAGACCTTGCCACCAACAAGTTGCTCGAAGCACTCCTCGATTGCGACCAAATATGAATCATAGCTTCTTTTATAGCTAGCAGATTGGTAACCAGCCGCCACGCCCCATTCTTCTTCGGAACCCCCATGCAATGCGAATTATTTCGAGTTGGAGTATAGCGAAATTCCTCTCTCCATCAAGTCGTTGCATATGGACTCGTACACCTTTTGCTGGACTTGAGATAGTGGATATTGCCGAACATAAATTAGCCGTGATTTCGAGTTTACGGGTTCGATATCCATGAATTGGAGATCTTTCGCACTATGATCAAAGAGGTCCGTATGCTTGATAAGAAGTTTTTCGACGAGGATCCTGTCAGATGCGTTCACACTATCAGGATGCTCATACTTGAAGGGTAAAAGATCAATTCTCTGCTGTTGGGTTAACTTCTCGTATGAAACAATCGCGATATCCGAATCGTTGATATCCAGGATATCCAGGGTCTTTTCAGTGCTTAGTGTCTTTATAGTATTCACAATTTGCCTCTTGCCATCACTGTTCGTAGGATTGACCTAACCCCCTCTAAGCGACAGTGGCTGTTCCTTCTTCTTGCCCACAATTTTAATCTTGATCAATTGCGAAGTTACAGGCTCCGATTCGTGACAGCCCCCGATTCCAGCTTGATACAGCTGACGAATGTTTCTCAACGGCCATTCAATATATTTAGGTGCTTCGCGCTGTGACCTCACGTACTTGGTCTTTGCTTCATAAAGCAAGGTTAGCTGATTGAGCACCCTATCTTCGCTCCGTACGCAGGGATCGAAAAAAAGCATGCCAAACAAGAATTGGATATCCCTAGTCAGCATCCTCTCGAGCACTGCGAACTTATGCTTGAACGCGGTTCCTTGTATTCGTAATTGAAGTGAAACATTGAAGGGGGCTGCCTGGCATCTGCCTACATTGTTGAGATATGTTCTCGAGGGCTCGATGCCGTCGGAAGCAGCCATGTGATTATAACCCTTGGTACTTCCAGTGAAAAGTGATACTTTCTGTGTAATCAAGGATATGATTCTTACCAAGAGACAGCCCTGATCATTCTTACATAATCTACCACTGCTAAATCCTAACAGAATTTAATTATCTTGTGGGCAAATAACCATATATAGCGGATATTTAGGACCGGACCGGGGGACCGGGCCAGTCAGTGGAATAGAGAATTTTATAAGTTAGAAGCGATGACTCATCCAAAACCATAGATACGGGTATTTCCATAATACCCGATAGTAGAGAAAGTCTCGTTTCACATATGAACCATGGACGTGATAAATAAGTTCCGTACTTAATAATTATACGAACAGTACAACGTCATACTATTTGACCGTCCGGGGCTGAGTCAGCCATTAATACTACAATACACACAATTCAAACATGTGCGGGTGGCGAAGGACAATACTCCTGGTTAATATTGTGTAAAACCAACACAGAGTTAATTTGAAATTTTAAGACGCCATATTTCGGTCGTATAGAGGGTTTCAGATTAAACATTACGAGCTACAACTCTTCGTAGATGTGATCGCCAGGGCACCCACAAAGGTTGGTGGCAAGTTCTTCCGTAAATTTTACAAGATATGTCGGTAGCCGCCGGTATCGCAACTCAGGAGTAATCACCGCACACGACACACCAAACCAGAAGGCTATTAAATTGAATTTGAAAACTTCCACAAAATTTCAATTTATGTCTGACACAAAGGTATCCCTGCTGGCGGCTGTTTGCTTACGGCGACAACACTCGTGTTTGTGCTGGGGTTAACTATTCTTAAGTTTTGGGCTGGTGTACGATAGTTTTAAAAACTCTATCGTCCGAAAAGAGGCGTGAGGGGTGTACAAGGGTATTGTAAGTATGGTCTTACACGAGGTGCTGGCGACTACGACATCTGCAGTGGTATGAATGCCGGTGATTATTAATGCTGCAAGCGGACATCAAATTGGGCAATATATTTGCAAAAAATATGTGGGGAGATAACAGAAAATAAACGTTGGACACAACTGGAAACTCGTACGTGCTTTGGGTTCGTTACTATGATACAAATCTTTCGACTATAAGCATATGTGTTCCATAATAGACGAGTTTTGGTACTCCAGAGATCATATACACATGGAGCTCATTCATATGTTGGTGACATACCGAATGGACACAAATTTTTTATTTGCGAATTGGAGGTGACAGGCGTTGGGATATTCTTTAGGCACGACTATCATTACTGTTATGCTACAGCAGAAGAGTCCAGGGCGAGAAACAATCGTTAGTCTTCTTGAGTTAAAGACTTGCGACGTGTTTATGGAACTACAACAAAGGATTAGTTCTAAAAATTAGTGAACAGTTTTTGGGCTAAAGGCCATTTACAGCCGAGCAAATAGAATGAGAGCTGACAATTACAACATAAACGACCGTTTAGTCCGTGTGGAGGTGACTAGGATGTTTTACGAGGTAGCCCCTGACACCTGAACGTCGTGTACACGATAATATCGATCAACGTAGAACGAAGCGTCACCGCTTCAAGAAAGGACCCAACCAACCCCAGACAGAAGAGGCACAGAACGCACACTATCGTGCGAACCAAGCGGTTGTATGACGGGCATTCCTAGCCCGCGGACAAGAACAACAACCAAACGTTGCACCAACTCAGCAAAAAAAAAAAGACCGTGAACCAGAGACGGCGGTAACCTCTGACCTGCGTGTATGCGGACCAGGGGCAGACCGACACTCATGAATATATAGCGAGTGCCGAGTTGTGGTCATTGTTGTAGAATCCAATGTCTAAAGAACCGAATATCCGTTGTGAATACATAACGTTCATACTAGTCGAGTTAAATACCGAAGTATAAGGACCCGTGACCCCGTTATAGTTACTCAACACCGATTAAGATACTCTAGGAATCCCCCTAGAACATTCGATACCATCATCAAAACCATACAATCTTCGCCTGTCCTTAGGCCATGTCTAACATTGTGTCCCTTGACTCCCTGTCAGACTTAATGTTAGAATATGTACTCTGTACGTGTAGCTCTCCTCCCGTCTGCTCTTGACAAGTTACTTTGCTCCTTTCTTTACTCCCGCCATCGACATCTTGCTCCATCGCATGTTCTACGTACTCTCCCGATGCCTTTGCCACGTTCTGCGGCTGTTGACCCAATGCTACCTCCCCGATAGTGGTCTTATGGCGATAGGATGTGCTCTCTGACTTACTTTGGTCCATAAAGACTTGTACAAACTACATTGGTATTCTGTATTTCTTGTCTGACCTTGATTGTTAGACTTTGTGAGTCTATTTGTGCTGTTCTATGCGTGGTCTTTCTAATGAAGCAAGCCTATCTGCGCTTATGTTTGTAGATTCAAAAGAAGTTTCTATCATTCACGTGTGCATGTCTCCCGTCCGATTTGAAAGTGTGATCTGTGTACTTCCCTACATACATAATCGACAAACTGCATGTTTCAGACAACACTATATATACTCATAAATATTCACTCAAAATTTGAGACACCTACTACAAGATGGGTGCATATCCCATGTTTTGCAATACGAAGGGATTTAGTCAGTATATGATTTGTGAATGAATAAATATATACCTATATATATATATATATATATATGTTTCCCTCCTATACGTATAGTATTTAACTCTTGCTCCTTCGTGTCACTTATATTAAACGACGTATTGGATGTGAAGCCTTCTTTGGTTAACTATGATTTTGAATGCTTTCGAATACGCAAGTTCATTTCTTCTAAGCCTATTTCCATTACATGTTTATGCCTGTCGTTGTCAGGTGGTACAACTATTCCTGTGTTCGTGCATGATGGGGCTTAGGTACTCGGGTTTTGTTTGACACACACATACAAACACACTCAACACTATCACTCTTCGTACGCGTATGAAAAATGTCAAATATTTATCTCCTCCTTCCGGGCTTCTTTCTTATTTCTCTTGCCCGGACTCGTCATAATCGTATGTTGGCGACTTATCTGGGATATATCTTAGCGTCCACGAAGTGCTAGTTTGATGACGTTTTTCTTTCGACTCCCTATATTCCCCATGAATGTGATCATTGCACGTCAATTCTCTACGTTGTCTTTCTCTGAACATTCTGGCTGAAATGACCCTCGCCATTCGTTATTGATGGGCCCGCCTTCGGATTGTGCGTTTCTCTGTACTATGTGATTGTATATCAGTGTCTAAATCCCTACTAATATATGCCAACAATGATGGCATTGAATCACTTCCATCATTACTAGCGTAACCATTATCCGTCTGATTCCGTTCACTATCCTGGGATACTTTTTCACCTTCTTCCTGATTCTTTGTTGTTTCCTCCATATTATTCTCTGTTCTTTAATGAAACATTTACATTACTATCTGGGCCGTGTTATAGCTTGTTCGTTGGATGGATTTGAATAAATGAACAAACTCAATAGTTTGCAAAAAAAGGTAGTAAGGGTCGACTAACAGTATCTCTATGTTATCTCTGTTCAGAGAGAGACGTTGTTCTTTTATTCATTAAACCTTAACTGCAGAATCTAATTACTTTTGAGTCATGTGTCGATCTAAAACCCTGATCGGTACAAATTAAGTTTACAGATTCTGATATTGTAAACTAAAATAACTAAATTAAAATAACACTCGTAACCCTTTCTGGGCGAACACTAATAACCGTGTCTGGTGGTATTCCGACCACATGTAACACCGTTAAGTAAAAGCAAGTGATCATGATCAGACACCGTGCTTGTGCGTTGACGACATTAAAGCATGAAACGATATGAACAATGGTAGTTTTGGAAGAATCATGGCGATTGGGCGGTCACGACTGGTCTTAGATGTTGGTAGCAACAGTTCGAGATATCAACGTTCGAACTTGAGTCCTCCACGATGCACATGTGCGTAGTGAGAGTATGAGTCTCGTGAACAAACTGTTAGCTCCTCAGAACGAAATCACGGAAGATGCCTACCAAAATCATGGTGTGTAGACGAAGGGCTTCGAGTTCCTGCATGCGTACTACCAGGTATGGGTAGAGTTTGTAGCACAGGATAGCCGGTGTCAGAGGTAGTGGTTCGCGCTTAGGAGTCAGTTTTCCATCCGCCACTCATCTGCGTTAAATGGTTTTTTCGAAGATTAGTTACAAGTACAAAGGGTTTCGGTACAGTGATGCCTGTCATTTGATACATGGATCTGCAGTGGGAAACATATCCCTTGACGCTTGCGCATAACAGTCTCCGACGAAGCTGACCCAAGCATAAATGTGGTTAGGTAATATTCCAGTCATGCCCCATGTCGATGGAAGATGTTGTTCGTGTACCACAACGTCGATGAATTGACGCTGCGCAGAACTGGCTGCTGCACGCTTTACAACTGGCTTCAAGTATAAATAAGATGTTCCTTTATCGTGTTGTTCTAACTGTGTGTACGTCAATTCAGAAGTGTGCCACTCAGTGTGGCGCGCATCAGATAGATACAGTAGGTCTGATTTGTGTCCTGTCTTAGAATTAGAGAATATGCACAAAAATGTGTCTGGTGTTAGTTGTATATGCATAGATTTTGTATTTTTGGGTAAAATCCAATGTCTAATAAACAACTCGCGAGCCTATGCAATTTGGTTGAGTAACTCGTGAGCAAATAACTAAAAATATGTTTTTTATTTTCGTGCACGTCATATATTTTATTCCCCCAGATGACATTGTTTGCAATTCTCGCTCATGTTTGGCTATCAAACAAGTGAGTGGAGAGGGCTATAGGCGTAGGTTGGACCCGTTCAATTCGCAAACAAATCTGAGAAATATTTGAATGCATCTTTACTTTATTTGAATGACAGATTACCGTTTTCGCCTTGTTACAATCTGTTAAAGTGCAATGTAGTAGACTTTAAATAATTTTTTTCTGACCTCACCTTTGGTTTTATACCTAAGGTGTTTGTGCTAGTGTTCAGCCGCCTGGTCTGGCCAGGGTAAAACCTCATATGGTCAGTATGAGAAACCTTATGCAGAACACATAACACTTCGATGCTATTCTATTTCAACTTCTCGCAACTAAATCTCACGCTGATCACATGATCCCTTTCCACATAGGATGTGACTCACATAGAACCGCAGCTATTATTAGAATGCTGCGGTTGACAGGCTTAATCTATTCTCGGGAATCGGTTGAGCAACAGAATCTGCTCTCGGAGGTCGGTTAAGTAATAACTCAACTCTTGGGAGTAATTTAAGCAACTTTATTTGCTCTCGGGAGTGAGTTTACTCTGATGACTTAGTTCTTGAGAATGAGCTAACTCTGATGACTTCCTAATTCAAAGTTGGTTTCTTGCTGTAAAATATGGCCTTAGACCTGTAGTCTCTCACAATCAGGGGCACTTTTCATATCATGTAGGGATATTGGTATACCATTTATAGATGTTTTTTTTCTCTTCAGGTTGTCCGGTAGGTTTGGACACAAGGAAGTCACGGAGCGGAGTTTGCGGTTGCTCTTGGTTTGGCTGTATTGTTGGCTATCCGGTTCATTTGATCTTCCATCATCAGATCTAATTTGTTCAATATCTTTCCCATCATGTCCATGAACTGATTCGATGTCTCTCGAAAGGGTAGTAGAGTTCGTCATGGTTTTCTTGTGTGGTGGCGACGATGGTAGCGGGTTCTTGGCCGGAGACCCTTCCGGATCCTTGGAGTTTGGTGACTTGGGATCGTCTTCGTCTCCGTCGATGTATGTGTCTTCGCCTAGGGCTTCGTTGTTTTCGAGGTTATCGTCTCCTTGTGATCTTTTTGTACCTGACTTAATTTGGTCAAATGCAGTTGTGTCAGTGTAATTTTCTTGACTCATTGCTACCTCCTGTTTGCTGAAAACTCAAACAATCCCAAGGTACTACACTCAAATGTACAGTGTCTGACTGATTAGTTGACCCTGATGTGTGTGTGTAATTGTAGTGTTGTTGTTTCCTTGTTTGTCTAATGTGTAAATATCAACCTAACAAATCATCAGTAAGCTTCAAGATTTTACATACTCCCTATTTCTCTGTGATATTTACAATTGTATTCTGTATAAAATTAAACGCTAGATAAAGTTACTGATACTATTTCAATAAATACCGGAATTAGAAGCTTCAGTTTTGGCGCCAAAAATCATAGCCTATTTTTTATTACTAAAAGCTGTAGGTGTCGGCGAAAATTCGGGATTCGCAGGGGAATCCAAATTGTAAATTGTTTTTGGGTCTGAGAACATTCTCGAAATATCAGTACACAATGTCGAAAAATTGTGGCATGAATTTTGATGAGTCATCACCACATGACCCTCGCAAAACAGCTAAACGTAGAACTAATGAGAAATCGCGAATACCTTGAAGTTCGTAGACATTACGTAAACGTTTGGGCTTAGTTGTAGGCCTTTAGACCGCTGCCGGTCTGTCGAAAATTATATATATAGGGCAGTATAGTAGCTTGCAATCCTCAGACTTCCACACAGAGAATTAAAAGAAGAATAGAGGAGGATTGCCAAGACTACTTGAATCGTAGACTTTGACTTGGGCCGAGCCAAGAATCAATAAAGGATACTACTGAGAGTTATTGTCTAAGCCTTTTAGTAGGGTTTAGGGTTTATAGTGTACTTTGTGGACCAACATTTTTGGACTCAGGGCCGTTCGGGTTTGGCCAAGGATTTGTTGAATCTTGGGATTGCCGGCCACGATCAAATCGGGATCAGGACAGGAAATTAGGGTCAGGGATCTTATAATCCAAGTTGCTGGGAATCCCCTCTATAGCGGAGCCGCCATATAAAGGAACTGTGCCGCCAGTGTTGCTGTTAGCTGTTGTTGGGCATAATTATACTGGAATTGAACTATTGAAATTGTATTAGACATTGTCACTAAGAGATTGGGGAGACCCGTACTGTAAAATTCTGAAGAGTAGTAATCCACTTGTTGGACTCTTCTTTACGTAGGTAGTTTGTTGCCGTAGGCCTTATTATCGTGTATCGCACCCTTCGAAGTACTCTGAGGCAAATACTATCGTATTTCCAATAGTTCGTTTCATTATGGCTAATGCGAAGCAGCAGTGGGCTGCAACGATAGAGGCGAAGGTCCAACAGATGGAGGCTGCATTGTCGCAGCTTCAGCTGCAATTGACCGAGGAAAGGAATAAACCTCGTGGGGTTAGAAGCAATCGTGTATGATGGGAAGGCCGATATGTCCAGCGTTCGCGAATGGCTATATCGAATGGAAAAGATGTTTGCGGCAGAGCGGGTTGCAGCCGGGCGTGACGTCAAAGAAGCCGTGAAGTTGCAATTCGCCAGCACGTTTCTTAGTGGCCGTGCATTGGCGTAGTATCGAGAGACTGCCGGACCTTCAAACACTTGGGGGGAGATGTTGGCGGGTCTGCAAACTATGTTCTTGCCACCAAATTGTGAGAACGACTGCCGCGAGAAGCTTATGGCAGTGCGTCAGACTGGTTCGATGCGTGCATATACTGAGAAGTTCCAGGAGCTAGAACTCAATGTACCGCGCATTGCTGATGAGGAGAGGGTTGCTATCTTCATCCGTGGACTGAAGGATCAGCTCAAGATGGAAGTTCGTCTTAAGCAGGGGAACCCTCAAAACTTGTCAGAAGCGATGATGCTCGCAGACATAGCAGGGTCAATTATGCAAAAGACACATGCCGCCGACACAGTTGCCAATGCTATCGGTGGCGTAAATTCAGATCGGTGCAATAAGTGTGGCAAGAAGGGTCATTTTGCTAAAGATTGCAAGCTCGATGGTAACTGTCGAAAGTGCGATAAGAAGGGCCACATGAAAGCGGTATGCAAACAATAATGACATGCGTGTCGGCTATACTAGACAGCGGGGCAGAGGCAGATGTACTACCGAAGGGCTGGGCTGGTCCAGAAACGAAGGAGGAGAGATTGATAGATGGATTTGGTGGGCGTATACTTTTGCTAGGGAAGGTAACGTTCGATGTATCCTAGAGCTAGAAGAGGGCCTTTCTTGACAAGGAGCAGACTCGGCCAGAGATGCGGTGCCTGTACAAGAAGAATGGATGACGGCCGACATATCTGGGCTTTTGAAGGAGGTGTGTTGACAGATGGGGATTACTCGACGATCGAGGTAGCTGAGCACGACATCATTTTACGGGATGGTGCTACTCTGGTATACGTGTACTACGAAGAGAAGACCCTTGAGGAGAGGGTGGCAATTCGTGAAGAGATATTGGACATGTTAAAAGAAAAGGTGATCGAACGATGCAGTTGGAAGACATCGTGGAATTTTCAGCCGGTTGTGGTGCCCAAGTGTAAGTTTCGGTCTATCAAGGCGATATTAACGCCTTAGAGTGAATAAACTCTTAGTTAAGGCTAAGTATAATAAAATTTAAAAGAAATAAACGAAACGAGTCTTTTAGTTTTAGAAAACAGCAATACTCTGAGAGGTTGTGAGACTGAGACATTGCCTATATATAATCCTCTCAGTACTGTTTTCGCCGAAGGGATTTTATTTAGTGTTTCATCGTCGCCCTATTAGAAACTATGGTATGTTTCGTTGGGGCGAATCCGAGAGACTCATAAAATCCCATCTTTAGAAAAAAAGAAAAAAGAAA